AGGCCAGATCAGCTCAATAACAACGGTAGGAGGATGCTAGATTTTTGTGCAGCCCATGGGCTTGTAATTACCAACACGCTGTTCCGGCATCGGCGCATCCACACAACATCATGGATGCATACCGGGTCCAAGCAAGAACATCTGCTGGACTACATAGTGACGGACCAGCGGATGCGAGCCCATGTCCTTGACACCAGGACGTACCGTGGAGCTGATCTGCCCTCTGACCATCGACTAGTCATCTGTAGAATGCGCCTGCCATTCTTCCACTCCGGCGGTGGGTGTACACCCAGGACCCCATTCCAACCTAAAGTGGCCTGGTCTCAATTATCTGATGAAAGTTGCAAGCGAGAATTTCATCATCGCTTGCGGCTGGGGTTGGCCTAGTCCCCCACTCCTCCTGATGTCGATTGTAAATGGGCAAGGTTTAGGACTGTGACTCATGCAGCTGCAATGGCTGCTTTGGGTACGCGGTCCAGACCTCCCCAGAGACCCTGGCTGACAGAAGAGGTGTTCAGGATGGTTGAGGAAAAGCGACAGGCCCACTGTCATCGATTACAGAATCCCACGTCAGAGAATGAGGAGGCTTACCGCAGCCTTCGCTCGGAGGTTCGGAGAGCCGTGAGGCGCTGCAAGGATGGGTGGTGGTCGCGGGTTGCTGAGAAGATAGAGTCTGCCTCAGTGGCCCGCGATCACAAATCTCTATTTAACTCCATCAAAAAAGTAACCTGCAGTGCCACACCTATTTCCATCATTAGAGGAAAAAACGGTGATCCAATCTCCGACACCCAGGAACAGGTTTGCAGATTTTCTGAGCATTTCTGTAAGGTCCTGGGGGAGGGAAAATCCCTCAGCCAGGAAAACATCATGGCACAAAGTGATGATGACCCTGCTGAGGCTGCAGTGCCTCTAATATTGGAAGAAGTCACCCCCTGTGAGTGGCTGGCTGAGGTGCCATCTGTTGAGGAAGTACTGAAGGCGATCCGGAGTCTGAGACCAGGAAAGGCAGTGGGGCAGAGATGATCTCCGAAGCGAAATGCTGAGGGAGGGTGGCGTTTGTGCACAGACTGCCCTATATGACATCATAACAACAGTCTGGACCACTGGACGGGTTCCGCAGGATTCGAAGGATACCCTGGTGGGCCCCCTCTTTAAGAAGGGGGACCGCACAGACTTTAACAACTACAGGGGCATCTCACTTTCAATGTGCCGGGAAAGGTCCTGGCAAGGATGATTCAACATCGCCTTGCCAGGTACACTGAGGAGAGGCTTGCGGAGCCCCAATGCGGTTTCAGGAAAGGGCGGTCCTGCACAGATGCCATATTTTCTGTCCGTCTGCTACAGCAGAGGTGTAGGGAATTCCAGCAAGACCTACATCTCTGCTGTATTGACCTGGTCAAGGCCTATGATGCCATCAGTAGGCCTGGGCTCTGGGTTGTTCTCCATGCTTTTGGAGTCCCTGACCCCCTGCTCACGATCATTAAGGACCTTCATGATGGTGAGCGGGCTCGGGTAAAACTACGTGGCCGGGAGTCAGAGCCATTCCCTGTACACCTTGGGGTGCGACAGGGATGTCCTCTGGCTCCCACATTATTTAACATCTATTTTGACCACGTAGTTCGTGAAGCTGTACCGGGGGAATCTCCATTTTGTACAGATATAATGGGAGGCTGATCGATGCCCTGGTGCGGTCCAGGGATGGCTCCCTATTGCTCAACCACGTTATGTATGCCGATGATTTCGTAATAGCTGCTCATTCAGAGGAGGAGTTGGAGACGCTGCTGCTGAGACTGGAGCGTGCCACTAAGAGATGGGCCTTACCATCAGCTCCACCAAAACTAAGCGCCTGCCTGGGTATTTTGTACCATCGGACACTCCATCTCCACAACTCCCAATCGGTGATGGGGCAGTTGTGGAGAGAGTGGAGAGTTTCCCATACCTGGGCAGTCTGCTTATGACCGGCTCCAGTTTAACAGCAGAGGTCTCACTCCGAATCAGTCGAGCGGCAATATATTTTCATCGGTTGCGTAACGCTGTGTGGAAGCTGCCTGGTCTGTCGCTCCACACTAAGCTTCAGGTCTTCTCGGCTACGGTCATTCCCTCCCTTCTCTACGCTTGCGAAACGTGGACCCCCCTAATGGAACATCTTCGCCGGTTAGAAACATTTAGGCTAGCCTGCCTACGATCCATCCTGGGTTTAACCAGGCTGGATTGTGTGAGGAGCTCACAAATCTTTGACAGATCTGGGCAAGGTCGCATCGGTGAGCTCCTCCGGCAGGCAATGCTGCGTTGGCTGGGTCATGTAGCCCGCATGCCCAGCCACCACATGCCGAAACAGCTTTTGTTCGGCCGGATCGACGGGGCTAAACGGGCGCGGCACGAGATAGAGAAGAGATGGAGTGATGTGGTACAGGAGGCCGTGGAGCTGAGTGGTCTTGCCGATGACTGGTACCAGCAGTGTCAAGATCGGCCCCTGTGGAGGAGGCTCGTGAAGGACGCTACTGGGCAGTTGGAGGCAGTCGCCCTCCAACAACAACGGAGGGTGGAGGAGCGACGCTCACAACAACGAGCGGAGCGCCGGGTGGCTAAAGCACAGCAGGTTGGCACAGTAGGGGGCACAGGTGGTGCATCAGCCAGTCATCTCAGTCATGTTAGTCAGTCGACCCGTGGCACTTGGGTCTGCCCCGTGACCTCCTGCCCGCGGGCGTTCGACACTTCATTTGGCCTCAAGGTGCACATGGCCTGGCACAAGCGTCGTGGTGACGTCACCGCCACTTAGTGGCAAATGGCGGTTTTTGTTGTTGAATGAGTAGGACCTAGAGACAGTGCCTACTACTGTGTCTACTGGATAATACGGCGCTGGTTGGTGGGTGAGTGAGTGAGTGGGTGAATGAATGAGTGAGTGGGTTGTTGCCTGAGTGAGTAAATGAGTGAGTGGGTTGCTGGGTGAATGGGTGAGTGGGTGGTTGAGTGGGTGAGTGGTTGGGTGGGTGATTGGGAGAATGAAAGAGTGAGTGAATGGGTAAATGAGTGAATGAGTGGCTGAGTGAGTGGGTGGTTGAATGGGTGATGGCTGAGTGAGTGGGTGGGAGAATGAGTGAGTGGGTTGTTGCGTGAGTGAGTGAATGAGTGAGTGGGTTGCTGGGTGAGTGGGTGAGTAAGTGGGTGGCTGAATGGGTGGGTGAATGAGTGAGTGGGTGAGTACAGTGAGGGAAAAAAAGTATTTGTTCCCCTGCTGATTTTGTACGTTTGCCCACTGACAAAGAAATGATCAGTCTATCATTTTAATGGTAGGTTTATTTGAACAGTGAGAGACAGAATACCAACAAAAAAAATCCATAAAAACGCATTTCAAAAATGTTATAAATTGATTTGCATTTTAATGAGGGAAATAAGCATTTGACCCTTCTGCAAAACATGATTTAGTACTTGGTGGAAAACCCCTTGTTGGCAATCATAGAGGTCAGACGTTTCTTGTAGTTGGCCACCAGGTTTGCACACATCTCAGGAGGGATTTTGTCCCTCTCCTCTTTGCAGATCTTCTACAAGTCATTCAGGTTTCGAGGTTGACGTTTGGCAACTCGAACCTTCAGCTCCTTCTACAGATTTTCTATGGGATTAAGGTCTGGAGACTGGCTAGGCCACTCCAGGACCTTCATGTGCTTCTTCTTGAGCCACTCCTTTGTTGCCTTGGCCGTGTGTTTTTGGTCATTGTCATGCTGGAATACCCATCCACGACCCATTTTCAATGCCCTGGCTGAGGGAAGGAGGTTCTCACTAAAGATTTGACAGTACATGGCCCCGTCCATCGTCTCTTTGATGCGGTCCTGTCCCTTTAGCATAAAAAACACCCCCAAAGCATAATGTTTCCACCTCCATGTTTGACGGTGGGGATGGTGTTCTTCGGGTCATAGGCAGCATTCCTCCTCCTCCAAACACGGCGAGTTGAGTTGATGCCAAAGAGCTCCATTTTGGTCTCATCTGACCACAACACTTTCACCCAGTTGTCCTCTGAATCATTCAGATGTTCATTGGCAAACTTCAGACGGGCATGTATATGTGCTTTCTTGAGCAGGGGGACCTTGCGGGTTCTGCAGGATTTCAGTCCTTCACGGCGTAGTGTGCTACCAATTGTTTTCTTGTTGACTATGGTCCCAGCTGCCTTGAGATCATTGACAAGATCCTCCCGTATAGTTCTGGGCTGATTCCTCACCGTCTCATGATCATTGCAACTCCACGAGGTGAGATCTTGCATGGAGCCCCAGGCCGATGGAGATTGACATTTCTTTTGTGTTTCTTCCATTTGCGAATAATCGCAACAACTGTGGTCACCTTCTCACCAAGCTGCTTGGCAATGGTCTTGTAGCCTATTCCAGCCTTGTGTAGGTCTACAATCTTGTCCCTGACATCCTTGGGGAGCTCTTTGGTTTTGGCCATGGTGGAGAGTTTGGAATCTGATTGATTGATTGCTTCTGTGGACAGGTGTCTTTTATACAGGTAACAAGCTGATATTAAGTGTGCTCCTAATCTCAACTCGTTACCTGTATGAAAGACACCTGGGAGCCAGAAATCTTTCTGATTGAGAGGGGGTCAAATACTTATTTCCCTCACTAAAATGCAAATCAATTTATAACATTATTGACATGCGTTTTTCTGGATTTTTATTGTTATTCTGTCTCTCACTGTTCAAATAAACCTACCATTAAAATTATAGAATGATCATTTCTTTGTCAGTGGGTAAACGTACAAAATCAGCAGGGGATCAAATACTTTTTTCCTTCACTGTAGGTGAATGAGTGAGTGAGTCGGCCCCTAGGCCAACGTGCCCACTACTGTGGCCTATTGGATAACAGGGCCCTGTCGAGGCACCCTCCCTGGATATCGAGAAGCCGTCTCCTCGCTGCTTTTGCGTACCTGCCCACCCCCCTTTCTCAATATCGCGCATTGGCTCTGGCGGTAGCGGTCGGATTTTTCAGTTTTTTTCCACTTGTGTTTTTTCCTGCTGGCGGCAAGAGAGGTCACGGGCAGGTCACGGTCGACCAAGTGGGAAATGGAGGAGCACGTGACCTGAGTAATGTTTAAAGGGGAGACGGGGGAGAGGATTCCAGTGACTCGGTGACCAACGCTGAGCACCAACACGCAACAGTCCCGCAACCTCCGATTAGCAGGACGCTCAGCTGCTACGTACGGTGGTGCGTAAGAACATTCAACGTACCGTACGTACAAAGACTCACACAGAGATCCATAGATTCATTACACCAGACCCATAGACTCACACAGAGACCTATAGCCTCATACAGAAACCCATAGGTTCCTCACACATAGACTTATATATTACTCACAGAGACCCATAGACTCACTCAGAGGCCATAGACTCCTCACACAGAGACGCATAGACTCACAAAAGACCCATAGACTTACATAGAGACGAGTACACTCACACATAGACCCACAAACTCACATATAAACCCACAGATTCACACAGGGATCTGTAGACTGACACAGATCAATAGACTCACAGAGATTCGTTGCCTCACACATAGACCCACAGACTAACACAAAGACCCACAGACTCACACAGAGACCTGTTGACTCACATACAGACGAGTACACTCACACATAGACCTGCAGACTCACTCAAAGACCATAAACTCCTCAGAAAGAGTACCATAGACTCACAAATAGTCCCATAGACTCACAAAATGATCCTTAGACTCACAGAGAGCCCCGTAGAATGATATAGACCCACAGACTCACACATAGACCCACAAAATCACACAGGCACTCGTAGACACACACAACGATCCATAGTCTCACACAGAGACCCAAAGAATCACAAAGAGACCGAAAGACTCATAAAGAGACCCGTAAACTCACACAGGGACCCATAGACTCACACGTAGACCCACATACTCACACAGAGACCCACAGACTCACACATAGACCCAAAACCTCACACTGGGATCCGTAGACACACATAGATCCATAGCCTCACACAGAGACCCATATACTCATATGGAGACCCATCGACTCATCACACAGAGACCAATAGATTCATCACAAGAGACCCATAGACACACACAGAAATCCACGGACTCACACGAAGTCGCTTATATTCACACAGAGACATTTAGACTCACAAAGAGACCCACAGATGCACAGAGACCCATAGACTCACACAGAGACCCATAGATCCCACAGAAAACCATAGACTCACGCAGACTCATAAACACACTCAGAAACCCATAGACCCACACATGTATCACTATGAGTCTCCAAGCGTCTCTTTCCATCTCTACTTGTCTCTATGTTTGGCTGCTGCTATAAATGTCCACGTGATGTTCACGACAACGATGATAGGCCACTTTGTCGAGCTGCCATGATTTGTGATGGAGAGGTCTCTTCTGAAAATAAGTTAATAGCTCAGTTGGGGTATTACTTGAGACGATAAAAAATAATTTAGATGTTTTTGTTTATGTTGTTTTACGTTATTTGTTTACCTTTCCTACACTTTGCCCTCCTATCCTGTTTGTGCATCGTGTGGTTTGTTGTTGAAACGTTCTGACCTCGTGGCCTCCTTACCGGAGCATCTGTGACGAGCAAAGAGCTTCATAGCTCATCAGATTTATCCTGCAGTGGCAATACAACATTCTGATTCTGGCTGCTGTCTCCTCGCTTGTCTCTGATTCTTCCTCGTCAGGTTCCATCCCCGGATCCCTGACGATGCCTGCTGCTCCTTCTTTGAAGTTTGCGTCAATTTATCTCTGTCTCTCCCCGTGGAGATGTTAACGACCTCGCCTGGTATACAGGAAATCGTGGGTTCGATCGAGACCCTGATTATACCTGATGCTGTGTATTTGGAGTTTGCTTCTCTCTCTGTCCCTCCCTGTGGAGATGTTAATTACCTCGCCTGGTGTATAGTAGGTCGTGGGTTGGACCAGACCCTGACAATTCCTGTTAGTATACAGTATATTTGGAATTTGTGTTTCTCTCTCTCTCCGTGAAGATGTTAATTAGCTGCCCTTGTATAAATTAGGTCGTGGGTTCGATCCCCACCCTGATGTCTGCTGTATATTTCGTGTCTCTCTGTGGTCGCGTGGATTTTTCTCCGGGTCCTCCGGTTTTTCTCATTCACAATTAGAATCAACATCACCACGTGTTTAGAGTTATGCAATGAATTTCCACATGATGATGATAGGCCTAGATCATTGATCTATCATTTGTGATGGGCAGGGCGCTTGTGAAAAAAGAGCGACTATATAGCAGCTCATTTGTACCTTAATTTGTAGAATAAAATAATAGTTCGTAGTTTAACTCCATCCTGTATACCATGCGAGCTAGTTAACATCTCGCCACTGCGGTCCCCAGATGTCCATCTCGGCCCTGCCGCTGTTGCTGCTGCTGCTGGAGGTGGTGGCGGGAGCCCAGCAGGAGAGGACCATCTGTGCCGGCATCAACGGGATCCCCGGGCAGCCCGGAGCCCCGGGGCAGCACGGCACCCCTGGGGCCCCTGGGAGGGACGGCAGAGACGGTGAGGGGTCGGGTCCCAGAGACCCCCCACGGTGCGGTCGTGGTGCGACGCGATCACTCATTCACTCACTCATTCACTTACTCAATTGTTCACTTACTCACTCATTCGCTCACTCGTTCACTCACTCAAAAGTTAACTCGCCATGTCATGCACTCCATCGTTCACTCGCTCATTCTCGTAGGAGAGTGTCTCGTGTGGCGTATACTGAGGTGAGAGGGGAGAGGCGGAGAGTGCGTGGAGGCGAGTGGTGTGAATTGAGAGTGGCTTGAGGAGTGGACGAGCCATGCTTTGTTCTTCTCGCAGGCACTACCGGAGCACCCGGAGCCAAGGGAGACCTCGGGGCTCGAGGCTTGACTGGGGACCCAGGTGGGACCGTGACACTGATTCGTGTGCTCCTAGAAACTGATTTTATATATTTATTTTGTAACCAAGTAAAGCTGACTGAGCTATGTGAATCTTATTCAGAAGCGACCTGGTAATGATTGCTGGACGAAGTGGTCTCATCATCACGTGGACATTTATTCAGCCCAATAAATTTCTAAATGTGGAAGGGAAAAAAACGTAGGACCCGGTGAAAAGTCCACGCACCCACGGGGAGAGACGCATGCAAACTCCGAATACACAGCAGGCGTCAGGATTGCGATCGAGCACACGACCTCCTGTAAACCAGGCGAGGTAGGTAACGTCTAACCACCGACAGGCTGCATGTGCCACGGAGCGATTCATCACTTCTCTTATTTTTTTTAATGTGAAGTTAAAAGACACCAGAAGGTGCCAAGCAACTCAATATAATCGAGGAAGAAAATAACCAAGCTCACTGCTCTATTTATTTCACTGCGGTTGCTAGGAGATGTTAACTCCCTCGTCTGGTCCACAGGAGGTCATGGATTAGATCCCAACCCTGACGATGCCTGATGTATATTCGGCGTTTGCATTTTCTCCCCGTGGTCGTGTGGATTTTCCATCGGGTTCCTCTGGTTTTCCCTTCCACATTTAGAAACATGCGTATAGACTTCACAGTATTTGACTGCTATAAATGTCCACGTGATGATATCTGCCACTTCCTTCAGCTGTCATTTTCGACAGGCAGGTCGCTTCTGAAAAAAAAATAGCAACACAGCTGCTCAGTGGACCTTGCACCTGGGAATTTAGGCAAATAGTTTAGTTCCTAGTTTTGTCCTATGGGTCTCTATGTATCTCCATGTTCCTGAAAAACCAGCTCACGAGATATACCGTGTATGGCTGTAACATCTGTGGGGGCTGACGCCCCCCTCCTCTTCTCCCACCTCCTTCTCCGCCCCTTCTCGCCGGGCTGCCGCCAATCGAGTGATCGGTCTCCCCGCACAAGCGTCCTCTCTGTGGGATATGGCTAGTGGCTGGCTCCCCACCGCCTGGAGTTATCCCAGACATTCCCCACGTACACCACCACTAATGCGGAGGTGGCTGCGTGCACGCACGTGCCCGAGGAGCCGCATCTCCGCTCGCCACGGCTCGGGCTAAAAATAGCCGTATGAAATATGCACGCGCCCCTCTCCCCCCCCCCCCTGTGCGTCGGCTTTAATCAGCTGTGGAAAACACGCACGTGGGCACGGGCACGCGGGCAAAACCTACGGCCGGGTTGATGATGATGTACGAGCGCTTCACACGCCCGCACGGTACCCGCACCACACCTACGCTCTCCCCCACCCACACAGAAATCACACCACACGGATCCTCTGTGCTAAAGTTTATTAATGACGCCAATATGCTTTACCTGGAGGAGGAACATTTCGCGATGAGAGCCTAGCGTAAACTCTGCCTATGAACCCAGTTACCCAAACGTCCTGCCACGTACCTCGCAGCTGTACTCACGGAGTCGCACGGACGCTGTGAGAGTCGGAGGGAGAAGGACGAGCGACACCCTCGCTTATCGCTGCCTCGTAGCGGCACTCGCTGGCATCACACCGGTGCTGCGAGTGCTCAAGGAGGCAGGACGGCAGGGAGGGGTCTGGATCGCCCGGAGGTTGAAGACAACTGAACTCTAATTCTAGATTTGAAGCTTTCGTGACTGCAAGGATTCATACTCTTTGGTTTTTTTGGTAAAGTCACGTAGGTAAAATAAAATGTAAAATAAAAGAAAAGAACTACTTAAATCGCGACGTTTCGGAGGCAACACAAGCTTCCGTCTTCAGGTGGAACAGTCACAGCAAGATAGCTGCATTTGAAATCACCATCCCGGGGGCACCTATCTTCATTCTCTAAACTTCAAAGGCTCAGGGTGACATCATACCGCGCAGCCAATCGTTCGCTTACCCATTCTTCCCGTCATCGTCCTCTCCACCGACTCTACCGTGGCCTAATCCGCTCACTTCAAAGGCCCAGGGAGGCATTGCACTGCACAGCCAATTGCGTGCTCACCTGCGCCGTCTACATGGAGGGCCACGGGGTCTGCTGCTTCTGCTGCTGCTGCGGCCCCTCACCCATTGTCCTCCCGTGCTCATTAATTCTAACCCACTGATCTGCCCTTCTGGCCTAATATTCCACCCTGCGCCTCTCCCAGTGTCGTGAGTAACTCATTATGGTTGGCCCAATGAAACTTTTAGTTCTGGGCCAAAACAAATCTAAGCCAATTTAGAGGCACCGCAATGTAGCTTGATGATGAGGGTCAGCCAATCTCCCGGCACCGGGAAACCATGGGACTCCCCCTCTAGGCGCCCTTCAGATTAAAACCCGATGTGCCAGGCAACCCCCCGTCAAGACACTACTACGTGGGTGCACTGTGTGTGGGTGTCTGTTTAGTGTGGGGGCCGGGATGGGAGTGCGGCGTTTGCGGAGTTGCTCCGTGGTCGTGGCACCACACATCACCCCATGTTCTGGAAAAACAGAACCCATTCAATACACCATGTAGAGCAGAAATACACATTTTATACAGACACGTCAGGCAAGGTTTTCCTGTTACAAAACAAGGACGTTTGTCACAGGACACGACTCAATTGTGCAGGTTTGGCTCACCGTCATCAACATAGATGCAGAATTGCCCCATCTCTCCGTTTGAGAGTTGGGATGAACACACAAAAAACAAAAATCCCCGTATAGCCTTAACATACTGTTGTGGCAAGTGCTGTTGGTGAGCATCTATGAAAACCGGCACGCCTTTGTCTCCCAAGTGGCGTTGTTAAAACATCGCACCAAGTAATCAGTTGAGACTGAGTCGACGTAGGGTAGGAGGCCCATTACCGGTTCAGATAATCATCACTCGTGTTGACCATGAGCGGGAATCGAACATGAGTCTCTACTGGGTTCATAGCGCTAACCGCTACACTACCGTGGGGTAACACACACCACAAATGCCATGCATTTGGACCGTGTTGTCTGCCTAGGTCTGCCGGGAAAGCTGGGCCCTCATGGCCAACCGGGGCTCGCGGGATCTCCGGGAGTCCCAGGTGAGCAGGGCGAAAGAGGTGAGAAAGGCGAGCCGAGGAGAGAGAGCGGCGTGGGGCCCAGGTCGGCCTTCTCCGCGAAGGTGGGCGCTTACACGCCGGCGGCCGGCTCCCCCGTGACGTTCAACGTCATCATCACCAACCCGCAGGGCCACTACAACCCCGGCACGGGGAAGTTCACCTGCGCCCACCCAGGCGTCTACTATTTCACGCTGTACGCGCATCCCAGTGAACAGCACCTCGTGGTTATGATCATGAAAAACGGGCAGGTCATCTCTAAAATGTGTGGTATGAACTTCAACGCAATAAGCGGCAGCGTCGTGTTGAGTCTCAAAGCCGGGGACGAGGTGTGGCTGGAGTTGGAGTCTCCGTACATTAATTTCCATTTCGGCGCACACAGAGACGCCGTGTTCAGCGGCTATATCCTGTACCCCGAGTGAATCACTTTTGTTTCCAACGGCGCATCTGGGCAAACAGATTGGGAACACATTCACTCACACGCACGCGCATGCACCCACCCCTGCTGCCCCCCCCCCCCCCGTGTTAAACAAAGATTTTGGGCAACATCTCAGAAAAATGTTCAGCAAAAATCTGCAAATATACTCGGGTTGCCCAAAGCTGTGGTAATGACTGCTAATTTTCGGATGTGACATTTTCTCACCAGAGGAAAAATAGGCCCGTCACTTTTTCTTAGTCACCTCTCTCGATGTCAGCCAGGGTGTCTGGGCGAATATTAATCGGTTAGACAACGCAGAGAGGCATAGCAGCTTGCTCCAGCTGAAAAAGTCCTGAAACCTCAACAATTTTCCCATCCGGCATTGGCAGTGAAGGGGGAAATATTTCAATTCCAGTTGATAGCTGTGAGGGTTGCTCATTTCTAACATGGGAGAGAGAGGAGTTCCGATCCATTTTCTCTCTTTTATTGGACACCAACACGGATTTTTAAACGTGCTTTGATGGCAACAGAAAGAAGGACAATAACTCGATCTGGAATTCTGAAAATTTTTACAAGATTTGGAATGAAGTGACTATGCCTTGGATCATTACGCACAAGGACGTGAACCAACTGTGGTGGATAATACTTCATTGACAACCAAGTACAACCAACTCTTAAAACTCTCAGCGACAGTAATAGCACGCGTCTACAGAACCCTGCAGTTCACCGACTTAACACAGCGACCCCGCGTGTCGACAATGACAGAACACCACGTCGACTTACACAGATAGAGACAACCGAGAGGACTGTTCGCACCAACCCTGACGCACGCCTCCAACCCTGGGTGACGAGGCAACGCACCAGAAGCCCAGGATATGCAAATTCAACCTCGAGGTCGACTACAGCGTCAGGGATCCCCCCCAGTAGTGCCTCACTCCCAAAATTCAACGCAGAATCAACCTCGGTCTTGCATTGCACTCACAGCAGCGCTCTTAAGGGATCTATGCAGCGGCAGTCTCGGGGTTTGTTTTTGCGCTTCCAGCAGCGCTCTGAGTGACCCCATGCAGCGACAGTCTAAGGGCCTGGCTGGAAATTCCAACAGTGGTCTGAACAACTCAACACAATCGCAGCCTCAGTGACTGAGCCACCTGCCCTGCAGTAACAGCTGGTCTTCTCCAGGAGTCCCTTTGTCGCAGTGAGCAGTCATTAGGCGGTCATAGATACGCGTTTTTGTCGTTAATGTGGGGGGTATTACGATAAGAAAGGTGATAACAGCGGGGGGTCGCAAGTGGAGCCGTCGCAGGTCGGGGGTCACCTATACACACATTTGGATCACTCACACAGAGACCCAAAGACGCACACAGAGATACTTAGACTCACACAGAGACCCATAGACTCACACAGAGGCCCGTAGACTCACGCAGAGACCTGCAGACTCACAAAAAAAACCATTGACTCACACAGAGACCCATGGACTCACACAGAGACCCATAGACTCAAAGACCTGTAGACTCACACAGAGAACCATAGACTCACATAGAGACCCAAAAAATCACACAGAGACCTAGACTCACACAGAGACCCATAGACTCACACAAAGACTTGTAGACTCACACAGAGAACCATAGACTCACATAGCGACCCATAAAATCACACTGAGACCCATAGACTCACATAAAGACCCATAGACTCACACAAAGACCTGTAGACTCACACAGAGAACCATAGACTCACATAGAGACCCATAAAAATCACGCAGAGACCCATAGACTCTCATATAGACCCATAAAATCACACAGAGACCCATAGACTCACACGAAGACCTGTAGATACGCAGAGATCCTTAGACTCACACAGAACACAGAGGCCCGTAGACTCACACAGAAACACATAGACTCACACAGAGAACTGTAGACTCACACAGAGACCCATAGACTCCCACAGAGACCCATAGTTTGTGGTCCTTCGCCTCTCTCCTCTGATTAGCACGGTTGGTTATGTATGGTGGAAAGAAGTTCAACGTGCATACATACACATGCACACACAGGGCACATTTGTTGGGAATTATTTGTGACTTAGCCCCGAAGTTAGAAATGGGATTGTAGTCAATAGTTTTCACTGCACCATCTATCAAGTAGGTTCACGTGACTCCTACTGCAATAGAACACCTTGAAAGTGATTCAATTTTTTGGAACTTGTAAATGTTCTGATTAAGCCTGCCTACATATTATTTGCTCAAAGTTACACGTGTGGTGAGTCCTCGCTTAACGCGCCCTTCCACTACATAACGCGCTTCTTCCATTTCAAAACACTTTTCACTCAATGCGGAATGCACACCATTATATTATACCACAGAACAATCGCCGTTACAATGTGTAACACGCTGACTGTTATGACGTGGAATGCACGTAACTATTATAACATGGAATGCGCACACCATTATAATGCAAAATGCAAACCGTTATAATTCAAAACGCACGCACCGTAATAAGGAATACGCACGCCGTTATAATGCTGAAGGCATGCAACGTTACAACGCGTAACGTGCACAACGTTATAACACAGAACGCTTACCATTATAACACAGAACGCTTACCATTATAACACGGAACGTGTGTGCCATTATAACATGGAACATGTGTGCCGTTATAACTCAGAACGTGTGTGCCGTTATAACTCAAAACGTGCGCCACCGTTGCTGTAACGCGGTTTCTGAGAGGTCGACGGGCGAAGTACTTTCTCAAGACTGCATGGCTGAGCGGTTATGGTGAAGCGGTAACGCGGAGTGATACGGTGACACGGCGACGCTACGCCCGTCGGTTGACGCGGAACTACTTTTTAAGAGAGCACCTCCCACGTTGATTCCCTAGGGCCCCAGCGTGTGACGTTGATTCGGACTTCTCGTCGCGTGCTTCTGTGCGCTACCGAAAGGAAGGAGGCTTTTTTTCTTAATTTCCACGGGGTTTTTCGTCTGCCATAAATAAAGGATCTGTAATCGTGTGGATATTTATTTTGCGTCAACATGAATGTTTATTTATGCCAATTTCAAACAAGCAAACACATGTAAAACACAAAAAAGCATAGACACAACTTCTAAAAACCTAAGGTTATGCAAGAATGTTGAAAAAATAAGCTATTTAATGTAATTATGATTTAGTGATTATCTGGCGTTTTTGAAAATCCGGCGCCATTTTTTCATGTGAAGCCACCGGATAATCGATAATCCACTGTATAATCGATGATCTATGTACGGTTTTCTGTTTTTGGGCAGTGGAATAACAGCTACTCTCTTGCAGACTCAGCGATGTTTTACTTATAACGTGTAATTCCTATATTCGATTCGTAGTTATTTCAGTTAACCAGTAGTTTTCGTTGGAATGGAAGAAAATATGTTAACCGAAGGACTAAATCCAATTCTATGCATAATGGTGAACTTTTAAAAATGTATTTAAACTCATGCGGTAGACTCTCGATCATCCCTGTGCGGGTTTGTCCGCACAGGGATGGCGTAAATTAATAACTCATGGAGTTCCCCTTAAGCCGAAATTAATCATCTAAAAACAGTTATACTGCTGTATCTTTCCACCTGATGATGATTGCTTGTGTGGCGATCGAAACGTCGTGATTTATTATTTATTTTTCTACCTACGTGACTTTACCAAAAGAACCAAAGAGTATAATTATACTATTCTTGGAAAACTTCATTACAAGTATTTTTTGGGTCTTTCCATAAAGCCATGTTTCGATCGCAACACAAGCAATCGTCATCAGGTGAAAAAAAATATAGTGAGAGAGCTGCTTAAGCAGGATTTTATATAGGTTTGAGATGGGCGTAGCCCAAGGGTAAGTGGGCGGGGCTAGTGATGGAATTTGCATGTCAATGTAAGATCGGAGAGATGATTATACCTCTACGTCGTCGCAGCTGTGGAGGTGGCCATTGTATTGTGAGAGATTAGTATGTCAATGTAAGCGAACCGCCGCAACAGTGGCTGTGCTAGTGAGACATCCAGCTCGTTAAAAAACGAGGGACACCACCAACTCGAGGACAAGGAGCAACGGTGGCTGTGTTAGTGAGACATTTTCTCTGAATGTAACTCAGAGAGTCGGAAACAACTGCTAACATCGGCAGGCAGGATGGAAATATCACAGCCAGTTATGACTTAAACTAATTAATAACGTCGTTCCAATGATTGCTCAGTTTGTACCCATCTTTTTGGTTGAAATTGTGTCTGTGTTTATATATCTGGATGGCTTCATGAACGAATCTTCGTTGATAGCCAGTGGGTTTGCAGAGTACCTTTGTCTTGGAAAACATAAATTTCGACCACATCAATTCCATACACCCAGCCATCAGATTTACCATGGAAGTCGAAAAAGATGGCAAGCTACCTTTTTTGGATGTCCTAATAAAAAAGAGACCTGATTGTTCAATGAGCCAGTCTGTCTACAGGAAAGCTACCCATACGGATGCTTACTTGAAACCAGATTCCCACCACCATCCATCCCAGAAGAATTCCCTTATCAAGACTCTGCACCATAGAGCCCAATGCATATCCGACCAGGAACACATAGCCAGTGAACTCAAACACGTACACCAAGCTCTGCAGACTAATGGTTACTCCGACTACACAATCCGCAACGCTATCCAACCATGAAGAAGGACCCTCTTGAGGAGCCTTTCAATAGGCTTTCAGTAGGCTCACATGACATTGACTTCTCCAATACAGAGGTTCTTTGCAAACCATCTGGCTACTATGAGCGATTCGTTCATGAGGCTATCCACATATACAAACACAGAGAGAATTTAAACCGAGAAGATGGATTCTGGCTTAGCAATCATTGGAAGGATTTGATAAACCATTTCGGGTCTTAATTGATTGTTCACGCTTACGGTGGCTTTCAGACCGCATCCATTATTTTCGTCTCCCCCCTCCTCTTTTCCAAACATAGATGGACTCGTTCATCTGAATAACTGCCAAATCGCTCTCCGTGGTGCTAACGTTAAAAAACGCCACTTTTTTCAAATTTTCTTGCTGTGGTTTTCACACCTGATGATGATTGCTTGTGTTGCAGTCGAAACGTCGTGAGAATTGTATTCTTTTTTTATTTTTATTATTTTATTGTTTCCTTTCTACGTGACTTTACCGAAAGAACCAAGAATATGAATCCATGCAGTCACGAAAGCTTTAAATCAAAATTTTCTAATGATTTTGGAAATAGAGGTTTTTTGACGCGAAATCGGATAAATATAAATGTATAATTTATTTAGTAAAGGTTTGTAACGTAAACAAAACGTAGTGGGTTTACTCTCCAACACTGAACTAGTAACGATTTGGAATGTTTTGTGTATGTGACAAACCTTAGTAATTGGCTGTATCGGGTCTTTTTTAGCGGTTTATATTCATGCGATCTAACCCAAAAACCTCTCATGGCTAATATTGGTCACGAAAGCTTACTGCTAGTTAACCTGATATGTTGTTCCTCAATGCCAGATTCACACTTTGCCTGTTTCCTTTTTAGCTACAGGAGGAGAAAAAATAAGACCGGAGAGTCCAGAGGAAATCCCAGCACAGAACAAGGGGGAGAATAAACAAATCTCCACTCCATTCGCTCACTCACTCACAATGAACTCACATGCGCCGATGATGATCACGATGGTGAAACATACAAAAACTAAAATCTTGTACTAAAGAGGAGCTGCCGAAATTATCAACAGAAGGTGTGTACCGGATTAATTGCTCTCGTAGTTAAATGCTATGTTGAACACACGGGACAAAATATTTTTTATGAGACTAAAAGAACAACGAAGAAATATTAAGTACTTGCAAACAACTGTCGGCATTTTCAGAATAAGCTTGCTAACAAGAGCATTCAATTGATTCTGATAACGTTGATTTGGTTGTCTAACACTAATTATCATTTGCCAAAACTATTTCGAGAAGCCATTGAAATTGAGAGAAATACAAATAACTTTGACCATTCTGACTGCTTCAGGCTTAGCGCTGCTTGGAAGCATATTATTAAGTAATACACCTTGCAATTGTATGCCTTGTAAAGGCATCACAATACCGATTAACTGTGATTAAGCCATCTGTTCCAGATTAACATAATCCATTGTTATAGGATTACAATAAACACCCTCTGCTCTCTGATTGGCTCACAGTGACGACGCCACTTTTCTCTATTTAAGACCGGAAGTAAGGTAGATATCTCTTCACATTCTGGCAAAAGTCGCCCGATGATGATGATGATGGTTGATGTCAATTATTAGCGAAACGTCACGGTAACGCAAGATTGTAAATGTTGCAGTGGATTTACTCAACCAACACACAACCAGCTAGTGCTGCAGTATAAACTAATTGGCCACGTTTTGTTGACGTGACAAACCCATCCTGAATGGGCTGTGTCGGGTTAACGACATTTATACTTACCCTGATCTTACTCCAATAAAAAAAA